AACGCCAAGTGTGAAGCCTTATGGATGTTATATAACCTATAAAGAACTAAGTGTATGGGAACAACTAGTTATATGTTTATGTCTAATTTTTGAATGCGGAAATAAATACTGACAGGCGATTAAAAGGGAAAGATATTAGCATATTTTTTGTCATTAAAATCTGTTAAAATTAGGAAGTAAAACATAGAACTTTTTGTTTCCAAGTGTAAAACTTGATGACTAAAATAATACAATCGCGATTTAAATGTGTCAATTCGGAAACGTCTACTTACTTTCTGACAAACCAACTTTAATTATGTTGTAAAATGTCGAAAACTCAATTTTCTGCTTATTAGGATGTTCCAAATGTATATTACAATCTTATCACCATACACAATTTATTCAATACCTAATTTATTTGAAATTATCAAGCCAAACCTTGATGCTTGATAAACCTTTCAAAATAGGGAAAAAGTTTCTGAAGTAAACCAATGTCAAAAACTTTACCCACACGATAAAATAATATAAAGTCGATGCAAATTTAATAACAATTGATAACGGTGAGATATGTAGGACTTACAGGTTCAAAAACAGATGATGACGTCTTAGAGTATGAAGCACACTCATCAATTATATCAGCCGCATCGAATTTACCTTGTCTACGATAAAGGGCAACCAAATTTCGAAGAGTTGTACCGACAGTTGGACTGTATAATGAAAAAATAGAAGTTTTTCAGTTAAAAAAAACTAGGAATTTGTACTCATTAAATTTAAAAATTTCCCTGCAAACGGAAACTGAGATATTGAAGTTACAACTTGAAATATATGGTGGTGACATCAAATTAGCGTGGCTGACATTAAGCAGTGGGAGTTAAGAGAAAGAAGGTAAACTAGGAAATGAATATCAACAGAAGTGAACGAAATTTACTGTGGTTTCATATACACTATCTATCTGATTCAAAAAGACTAAGACACTTAATTTTCGATGAACAGATTCGGACTAGATATTACTTCAGAGTTAACTGAATATCTGAGTTATGAAGATATAACTTTACCGGCTGGCCATATGATTTTTTTCCATTTTGACATTTGGTAAATAAAGAAGGAACGAATCGGGCGAAGAAATTTCTTTTCAATTAGTTTTTCATCATGGCTCAACACCAATATATATATATATATATATATATAAGATTTACAATAATGAAATAATACTCATCGAGTGAATACGTTACGTAATAATTATATAATGATATTTTGGTTATAAATTAACATTGAGTAATTGGAAGAAAGAAGATTAATAATGATCAACGTAATTATTCGAAAACCTCGACTTTTTATACACTAATGATTAAAAATATTGAGTAAGATGGTTCGAAATTGTTTGTTATTAAGGGAATTCATTTTCTTCAGTCTTTTAGACTGCTAAGATATTCCTTCACGCTTTATGACACATTTCTTTTGATTAATTTCGATAATTTATCTTGCCTGTTAAAATAAGCAACAGATTTTAAATGTATAACAATTTGAACTGTTGAGCGATTATATCAATGAACTGATTCAATATTAAATTGGACAAAATTCAAAAACTAAGTATCCATATTCCTTTTTATTTGGAAGTTGTTGATATTATTTAGCCCCTTAAGCTGAGGGATTCAAACCTGAATGTAAAGTGGTTGAGTCATCAAAATATTGCTAGATAAATAGTGACGGTTAACCAAATGTTTCTGACCATCTATTACTAAACATATAAAAAATAAATATAAAACTATGTCTGTATGCCTATAAGGTGAATAAAAATCGATTAGCTGGAGTAAGTATAGTAACTGGAATGTTTAGGTAATAAAACTAAAAATATGAAATGGAAATTATAACATTATTATACGTATGTTGAATATTGTGAATTGTACTTTAAGTAACCAAAATTCAATAGTAGAAATGAAAAAAAAAATCAAAATGAAGAATTAATTATTTTAATAATAATTTACCACATTAGTCAGTGAATGACTACGTATACTTCAAAAGCTTACTGTCAATAAATAAATATTACCTACTAAGATAAATGACGTGGATGCTATTAAAGTTTATCAATGTGAGTACGTGTAAACATCAATAAATAAATGAATTGAATTAAGCACAAAAAAGGAATATAAGCTAAAATTTTATTACGTTTTAATCTAATAATTTTGATGAATATAAGAAAGAAAGTTCATATTTATTAATTCCTTAAGATTGTATAATGTAGATTTTTTAAGAATGAGATGTTTTCTAGTGAAAAACAGAGAAAAAACTCAGTTTGGCTAAGTAAGAATCAAAAAGGTAAACATTAGAAAAAACTTCCTCATATCTTTAAATAGATCAAATTATAAAACAATGTGTGGTTAGAACAGAAATAGTAGGAATTAAAACATATAGTTTGCAATTACTAACGAACAATTTGTATTTTTTGCTTAGAACTAGCTTTATAGGTAGTTGTGTTTCAGAGCTCTATTGTAAAACTTTTCCCCATCATTACGAAATAAAACCGACACAAAGAAGCAAATACTGCAATAAGAGAAAAAAAAACATAGAATACTGAAATATAGAACATGATGCTGAACGACATCATAGGGCATAATAAAGATATTGATTCATGTGTAATTGTTGATTTCCCTGTGTATAACACTACCAGACCTTTATCTAATTGTTCGCTTAAGGCAATCAAAGTGATAAGTACCTTATGATTAATTAGAAAAAATAATCTTTTTCACAAGAGACTGAGTTTTATTATATACCAACCAGAAGAACAGTTAGGTGAGGTGTAATTTTCTCCCTCATATATCCTCTCTATTAACTTGGTCATGGACAATATAATGCGTGATGCAAATGTAGATCGATTAGAATCGTTAAATATTGCATCAGTAAAGTATGGAGTGGAAATCAGTAGTTTGAAAAAAGAACAAGTGAAAATAATAATATTGATTTCACGATAGAAATATAAGTAAAGATAGTATTTGACAGAAATCAATAAGATATCCTGAAAAAAGCATAGAATGACACTAAAGTGAAGATTTTAAGTTTATCATAATAAAATTCAGATCAGCACACTTAGATATGACAATTTCTAATCATCGCAAGCAACTATGGTGTCTAAGCCTACTTTCGTCTCCTTTACTTAAAATTAAATTCTTGTACGTACTCATTAAATAAGCAATAATATGAAATCAAACTGTAATAGAAATCATTTCTGAAATAATATATAAAAAAGTAGTTTATTTTCCATTCTTGCAGAAAAAACTCAATGAGTAAACGCAAAAAAACAAAACATTTTCAGTACCGAAAAACAAACTTAGATTTTCTATAAGTATTATTACTAGGCATTAAGAGAGAAAATTTTTTATTCACCTGTGAATGGGATTTGTTAGGAATGGGACAGAATAGAAAGGGAATACACGGTAAAAACGAGAATATATTAAATAACATTAAAAAATAAATCTTATATTCAGTTGTTCATTGTTTCTAAATGGTGATTAACATATCTGGTATTCTGGACGTTTGAAACACTGGGTTCTTATGAGATTTTTAAATAGCAATCTTTACTTGAAGCATGAACAAAAACCAAAAGGCAGGAAATATGAAAAACCTTTACTTCTAAGGTTGGTTTTATTACCGCGAAAAAGATGTATAAGATTATTGCCGGTGGCCTGAGGTTTCTGGGAAAATACTATCATAAGCAATAAATATGACAATCGAACAATCGGGTTAGGATATAATCAGTCGACATCAAAAAATGTCGACTGGATAAGAGTAATTTTGGTTTCTGAGTGATTTTTCAAACAACCATACGAATCACCTGAGAATTCTACGATCTATATCCGTTCGTGATGAAAACTAGTTACCTGTCGAACTAAGAATCATAAATCTAGCTTAATAATAAGGCGAATCAGTAAATACTTATTGTCTCCATATACATATATATGTACTGAATTTTGAACTCCAATTACAGTAAAGTGATCAATTCATATTATTATAGTCATCTTAAAAAACATCAGTGTTTCCGTATGACACTATGGTTATATGGGAAACGTGTTCAAATTAATTTGACTATATAATCGATTATAATTGAACCGATATTGAACAGTTAGACAGAAATAAAAATAACAGGCAGTAGGTAAGCAAGAATGGAGACCAATCAAAATTTCCTACTTACTTTTCTGAACGAGAAATACGTGACCACATTGATTGAACAATTTCACTAATATCTTTATTTGCATTGGTTAACTGACCGGACTGACGTTCTTCTGCAAGCATCCAAATAGGTTTGTTTGTATCAGAAATTTTTCCGAATTCTTTTTCATGAGCTCGTGTAAGTACCTCTTTATATAATTTTTCAGCTTCAGCATATTTACCTTGTTTAAGATAGGCTGAAGCCTGTGAAAAATATGATAGTAAGAGATAAAATAATTTGTAGCAATTTGCAAATCAACACCTGTAGCTCTTCTAGGGTTACTGATGATCCTAAGCCCAGGAAAAGGAGGGTTGTGAATGGCGTCACCAACCCCACCCCATAGAAAACAACCTTGTTAATAAACGCCAACTAGAAAAAACGGTGAGAATATAATTTATGGACGATCTTTGAGCGATGCTAAGGATTATGATTTACAGTTGATAGTAAGGGTTAGGATTTAGATTTATGGTTTTTCATCACGAACTGACATCAGCAAAAATGCCAAAACACCATTTAAACAAATAAGTGAATGAGTTTGGCGCCAAAATGAAAAAAATCTCTTATCATAAATCTCAATGCTCCGTCCATAAATTATAGTCTTGCCGAAAAAGAAATTTAAACCATCTAAACAATAGACGGCATAAATACAAAATGAACTGAAATGAAATATGTTAGTTTAAACGGGGTGTGGTAAGAAAGCTAATATCTGGATTTAATATCTGGTGACCGATTTTCATGATTTTCATGATATATATATATATATATATATATATATATATATATATATATATATATATATATATATATATAAATGTAAGTTACAAACTCCGCACGTAGCTCTTCTAGAGTTACTTCCGGTCCCAAGCCCGGGTAAAGGAGGAGGGTTTGGCATGTGGTTAGCGATACCATCCCGTAAAACACTAACTCGCTAACAAAACACTAAACAAGAAAAATAATTCAAACCATTTTAACTCTGACCTGGGAGTTAGAACGTCTTCATTTAGAACGAATATGACACCTCATGGTGAAAGCCGAGTTCCTTCAGAAGCCACGAGGCCGATGACCATTCTAACAACCAGACCAACAATTTTTATAGCTACACGGAACGTCCGGACAATGTCGGAGACCAGTCTAATAGCAACGGAAATGAGGAGATACAACTTGGCAGTACTGGCAATCAGCGAAACCCATTGGACTCAAGCTGAACAACAAAGCCTAAATACGGGAGAGATGCTGCTGTACTCCGGTCACCAACAGCAAAATGCTCCACACACTCAGAGACTTGCTCTAATGTTGTTCAAAGTACCACGAAGTGCACTTGTAGGATGGAAATCTCACGGATCCACAATCATCAAAGCATCATTCAAAACAAAGAAGGAGGGGATCACAATGAATATTATCCAATGTTATGCACTCACCAGTGATAGCAACGACGACATTAAAGATCAATTCTATGAAAGGCGCCCAAGAAACGACCTCACCATTCTAATGGGAGATCTAAACGCCAAAGTCGGAATAGACAACACCAGATATGAAGATATCATGGGACGACATGGACTGGGAGAGAGAAACGAAAATGGGGAATCATTTGCAAAGGGCCGCATTCCTACAATTGAAGAACATATGCAACTCAAAACAACTTCCAACCAATATCAAAGTCACAATCTTCAATACCAACGTCAACACAGTCAGTTCTATTGTACAGAACTGAAACTTGGAGAACTACAACAACCACCATCAAAAAGGTACAAGTATTTATAAATAGTTATCTACGCAAGATACTCAACATCTATTGGCCGGATACCATCAGCAACAGCCTTCTCTGGGAGAGAACAAACCACATTCCAGTTGAAGAGGAAATTAGGAAAAGACGATGCAAATGGATAGGACATACATCACGCAAATCATCAAACTGCATCACGAGGCAAGGCCTAACTTGGAATCCTGAAGCAAGCGGAAAAGAGGAAGGCTTAAGAACACAATACGTCGGGAAATAGAATCAGACATGAAAATAATGAATATCGACAGGAATGAACTGGGAAGGATTGTCCAGGACAGGGTTGGATGGCGAATGCTGGTGAGCGGCATATGCTCCTTCACGAGGAGTAACAGGCGTAAGTAAATACGTAAGTGATGTAAGGTACAAATGCCAATATTATAAATTCTAGACAAAATATTTTCTATTCTTTACTGTTGTGACTTTCGACCGGTTAAATATCACGTGATTTATTCACCAATCAGAACACGACTTATACAATCTTAACAATGTAAAAAACCAAAAACTTTTTGACCGGTATGAACAGCCTAGCATCCTTATGGGTCCTTGTTCCTGCCTAGCCCTGCCTGTTGAGACAAGAACGCTTATAACAGCTTCCATTATACGAATCATTTATTTCAGACATACTTTGTTTATATACAAGCAAACCAGACCACATCATATCTTAAATTAAAAAACTAACAATTGTATAAGATCAAGACAAAAAGTGGTTGTGGTTGTGAGAGACTGGAACTAATAATTTGCGAATAACTTGAGAATAGTAAGTCGCATAATAATAGTCTATGGATCAGAATAAAGCTTATAATGAGGAATATAAATACACATGATCTAGCTACTCGATATTTATATGATAAGATTATATGTATAATATTAGTCTATTAATAGCTCGCAGAAGTTACGCATAATTTAATCTTCGCTAGGATATAACAGTTTTGTCATCACGGTCTGTAGGACAACCGAACTCGGTAACTGGAGATTTTGGTTGATGCAACTCAAAATCATTTTTGTAGTTAAAAAGTATTGTGTAGTGTTGTGTTACTTTAGTATCTTCTACCTTAGAGTCTTTGTTGCTGCGTAGTTCGTTGCACATATCCAATGAGATTTGTGTGGCGCATATGTATTTGGTACCTCCTCGTACCAATATCTGTGTTAAAATAAATAAAAATAAAAATTACTACTGCATTTTCCTGGTGTTGATTCTCGAATCATTGTTGTTGATGTACAGTGTATAAACTTTTGCCATATTATCCTGTGTCAGCTTTTATATATGCCTGTTTGTCCTATATCGATGTCATATTTTGTTACAACTCAGTGCCACAGGATATGTTACTCTGCGTAATGATGAAGCTGTGACTTGATGTTTAAGGCTCTCTATTTTCAGCCATAGTCTTAGGTTTGAATCCCGATCCGCCTTTGGTTTGCGCAACCAGATAGTATCATTAGTCCTCAAAATCAGTGTGTGGCACATACCCTAGTACTTAGTGGATGACTTGTTGCTTTCTTTTCCATGATGCAGTAAATTTTATTACCTTTGTCTAGTTTTATGTATTTGTCTATTTTTGGACCGGGAAACGTAACTATGATTAGAAGTAATTGTTCTTAGTTTGATTATATCTGAAAATGAATACATAGAACGCCTTATGTACTCAGATTCCCTGGAATATTATAGTTAAAATTAATGTTCCATTATAATTACTTGCACGGTATTGTCGTAGGTGCTCTTGTTTTTAAATATGTTACAAACATGCCATTCAGATTTAAGGCATATATATACCACCAGAAATGCTCACATTTTCACCATACTACTTGTTTTTTTTCCTCCAGAGCTTTCGTTATATATGTGTATACATTGAATTTATACTTACACAAAGCAATAGCTTATTTTCAGCAGATTTTTGTAGAAGACATTAATATTTCTGTTCGATTTGTGGTTTAGAAATTATCCGTATAAAATTGATATTTATGTCAAACGCCTTGGTATTGATATTAGCCGTATAGGTGGTGTATGTTACGATGACCGTTTTTAGCTATGATTGTCAGTAGCATCCAGGACATGTATTTCTGTTTGTCTGAGACTGACCAGTTAAGTGATATCCAAATTGTTGTGAACATTGATGCTCTAGCTGAAATTTTTTCCAGAACGTATTTATTGATATATTAAAGCGTACAGTAAAAGAGGTCAGTCAATTCTGTTCAGTAAATCGTTAATGGGAATAGTAATCCATTAAAAATGTTACAAATAATTTTCGTGTATCTGGGTAGCTACGTAAGGGCTTTTGGTGACGTGAGAGATCAGATTAATTCACGTATAGTAAAATTCAGAGTGGCTTATGCTAATCTGTGTCATCTCTGGCGCTCTCGTGTTAGTCTGCCTGTAAAAGGTCGGATGTACAGCAGCTTTGCTCTATGTTTGTAAAACCTAGCCTCCGAGTTGGGGAGGTTAGACGAATCTGCGTTTGCTCATCTTTGCCTCCGAAGGATTTCTGGCATCCAGTGATAACGTCATTTTAGTGATGCGGATGTTCAGAAACGTATGTTCGGGCACACTGACGATTAGTCAATTGCTGTTACCATCCTAACACACCGACTTCGGTGGCTTAGACATGTCTTATGGATATCATCCCAGCGAATTCTACGTCGTGCATTGCTTGGCGACGCTGGGACCAGTTTCAAATGCGGAGAGATGTTCAGTGCACGACATGGTGTCGTAGTATGAGAGAAATCTGTGAAGGACTGGTTTTTGTAGGTCCTTCACGACTCCCTGGTTGTGGTCCTAGAGATGGTGCCACACAGTAGTTTGAGACGTTTTCAGACATGGCTCAGAATAGAAGGCTATGACAATTTTGCTGTAACTTCCTTTTACTTGCTTCATAAAAGTGAAAGTGACTTCCTGAACAGAAAGAATTCTTTCTGGTTTTATTTTTCACAAGTGAATTGCTTCTATTATTTTTATTATTTGATTCTCATATGCTAATTGCTGTTCACTGTTGCTCTGTTTTATTATACTGATTTTTCGTTGTCTATCTCTTTACAACCTCATTTTCAGTGTGTGGCGCATATATATTTGGTGCCCCCTTGTACGAATGTTTATATGTTTAAATAAATAAATAAATAATCCTTCCGCTAAGTAACTTAGTAATCACTTCTTCGGTAGTTAAATAACATTAACTGATTGTTTTGAGTTTTGGTCGGAGTAGAAATACTCTGGAAGGCAAGTATATTAAATAAATGGATAGAAAATAAGAGTCAAAGTATTATCCTGAGTTCGACCACATAATATGCACTTGATAAACCTAATATCAAGGACTCTAGTAAAAGGAGTTCATTTATCAAAAGAATTTAATTAATTGAGTTAGTAATAAACGTAACAATGTACAATAATTTTAATCTTCACGTAGTAATGGTATGCATCTACTCTTACTTAAATATCATTAAGTGAATAATTCATGTGAAACATTATTATGATTCTACGAAAACTGAAACGTTCAATGTATGGTATTTTATTGATCGGTAGTTTATTAATTATATAATTCACGTCTCTTCGATTGTTGATTGAATGACAGAGAAAAAAGACCAAACATATTTTTAACTCATAATTTTCCTTAATACTGCTATTAGAAACAGTAAAATGAATATGATTAGAAGCCATTTTTAACTATAAAAATGATTTTGAGTTATATCAACCAAAATCTCCAGTTACCGAGTTCGGTTGTCCTACAGACCGTGATGACAAAACTGTTATATCCTAGCGAAGATTAAATTATGCGTAACTTCTGCGAGCTATTAATAGACTAATATTATACATATAATCTTATCATATAAATATCGAGTAGCTAGATCATGTGTATTTATATTCCTCATTATAAGCTTTATTCTGATCCATAGACTATTATTATGCGACTTACTATTCTCAAGTTATTCGCAAATTATTAGTTCCAGTCTCTCACAACCACAACCACTTTTTGTCTTGATCTTATACAATTGTTAGTTTTTTAATTTAAGATATGATGTGGTCTGGTTTGCTTGTATATAAACAAAGTATGTCTGAAATAAATGATTCGTATAATGGAAGCTGTTATAAGCGTTCTTGTCTCAACAGGCAGGGCTAGGCAGGAACAAGGACCCATAAGGATGCTAGGCTGTTCATACCGGTCAAAATGTTATTGGTTTTTTACATTGTTAAGATTGTATAAGTCGTGTTCTGATTGGTGAATAAATCACGTGATATTTAACCGGTCGAAAGTCACAACAAAGTATACTCAAATCAACTGTCAGACTTGGTTAAATGACTCGATGTATTTATCTGATAACTACGACGCCTACCCGTTCTACTCTTATCCATGTTATCTCTGACGTGGTGGTTAGGCATGTATGTAAAGTGATATAAACAGTTTGCCTCAGGTACTGTAGATTTTCGATGTCATGTCTCTACATGAACTAAACATCATTTACTCAACGACCATACAAAAAGTAATCGATACTCATAAGAAATATACTATGTAAACAAATACCGTCTGTAGCTACAGTTCTCTTTTCGATCATACCTTCAAATATTTTCATGTAACTTCTTGAATGAAAAAGTACAATAAACATGAAAAAGTATTATTTATTGAATGAGCCCGCTTAAATTATGTAACTCCCTATAATTAAGAATTTAATAACAGTAATCGAGGCAATCGATATGCGAGACATTGTCATAATGCTGAAAATCAATTTTTACTTTGTTCACTTCAAGACTACATGGTTACAGTTTGGCGTATATATGCACATATATGGATATATATGCGTATATACATATACTTTTTCAATTTCTAACAGGCATACAGTTCTCAAGTGAACAATAAAAATACATAAGAGAGAGATAAAAAGAATGCACAAACAGCCACACCTTGCATTGTTATTACTAGATAAGGGTGAAACAACAACAAACTGACACACATAAGACTAAACATTTTAACCGATTTAAAGCATTTGAAATATTACAGGAAAAAAGAAAACCTACTAAATTATTTTTAGTTTTAGCTACATTTGGATCGTCTGGTCCGAGATCGTGTATATAAATTTCCAAGGCTCGTTGATAGTACAACTCCACCTAGTAACATTAAATACGAAAATATAGAGTGGGGACAATATAAAACAGCTAGTCAATCAGAAAAAGAAGAGGTAAACAATTGTTATTAGACTGATAGATGAAAAGTTACTGTATTGAGGATATATGCATAGGATGCACACATATCAACGAAGACAGACCATAATTCAATTAAGATTATCAACAACGAGACAATTCAAATCTTTTTTATAATATCACTAACACTGAAGTTAAAAATCCCGAAGTGAATAGGAATATTTATCTACTAAGTATACACAATCAGTTGCATACGATATTCACTTTACCAAACTAAAAGTATGTGCAGGGAATACACAAAAATGTTCAGATTTTCGCAACGACAAGTCTCATAGTCACTTGGCCACTTATACACACTTTCAACCAGGCATTCCTTAAACTTTTTTCAAACTGGATTACGCTTAAATATCTTAGGTAAAGTAGGATAAGTTAGACCAATTCAGTGAAATTTTATGTGAAAACTTCGTGTAACAACTGGGTAATACTATTCAAAACCTTATACTCAGAAAAAAATGAAGGAACTAGTAAGGGAATGCAATGTTTTGAATTCAAGAACAGTTGAACATGGGGAACTATTTAACATCGTTTGACTAGAAGACAATCTTCACTGTCTTTAATGAACTAAATGGTTGTAGCTTCTATTGTATGAAGCCTTCTGTAACTTGATAACAAGACCCTTTATTGAAGACTACAAGCTTTAAAAATCGAGTTTTTCTACTTCTAAGTGCATTATCAATAGTTGCCAATTTCAATGTCCATTATGAAAAGATCCGATCACGGCCCTTAAAACAGAACGAGTAATACACAATGAAAACTAGGTTGGACATAGTTTATTGTGACATTTTCTGATATAAACACTGATCGTGAATTCGAACCCCACTCCGCCTCCTTCGGTTTGGGAAGTGGGGTGCTGTTACTAACCATCGCAAAAAATGTACCTTAGTCTACCATATGGACATTTAGTCAGTAAATGACATTTCGACTTTCACTGTAACCCATGACACACAACACGTAGTGATGCATTAATACCATAATTGGATATTGCATCAACAACGATGTGTCGACATGAATATCGATGAAATGAAATACATAATTTGAGTACAAAACATTCAAGTCGGTGTCGAGGATACTTACATCAGTTTATTAACTTTGTTAAAGAGTTAATTACTTTTATTGAGAAAATTTCCATTGTAAATCACCAACGTAGATGATCTATGTCGAAATGATTGGAGGCCGACTCGAGTTAGACGTGAATAGTGTGACGAACCAACTAACATCGAAGTCACACCTCGTGGTCAGCACCTTACGTGGACTACCCCCATTGCCGTAACAAGGTACTATAGATGCTTTGAAGACTGTACAACACAAAGGACGTTATTACAGAAATATATTAGTTAAGGTAGATACAGGCGAAAGTAAGACCACTGCCGCATGGGCCAGTCCATGGCGTATGATTAACTAATGCGCGTTGCTTGTACATGACCTTGGCAGGGAGCGATGATCTGTTCGACATTCAGTGATCCAACTGCCGGATGATTTGGCTAGGGCTCAGTGACATTTCACTGGCCCTACACCATAACAAGAACATCATTCCGCTCAACTTTGATCTTCATCCTCATCCCAGTAATTATGCCTAACAGTGGAGAGTAGCTAAGAATTTTATTCGGATAAAAGCCGTCCTTCGTGTTCAATAACTTCAAGTTACACTTGAAAGACACAACACTCAAAGAGGCTGTAACACCGTGAAGATAGTGTCTTAGACGTTGTACACTTACATGTACTGATGTATATTTTTTTCTCTTTCCACTAATGCTCATTCCTTTCACATTTTTCGTGTTATAAAATTTATTGGAAACTTGAAACATAAGTGAATGTAGTAGTGAAGTAAACAGCACTCTCTATCTAAAATTTATACAAACGAGAGACGAAATGCATTTATTCAACAAAAACAAAATAATGATATAGTCTAGTTTTTAAACGTGAGCAGAGATAGTGAAGAAAAAGTTTAAATCAAGCTCACCTCTTCATACTTCCCTTGGTTTTGACACAATAAAGCCAAATTATTTAACTGTTTAGCAACATCCGGATGATCCTGCCCCAAAACCTAAAAAGCAGTAATATAATTGGTTAAGGGTGTACTGATTAAACTTTTTGTTATAATTTAGGCCTAGAAACGCTTACCAGGGTTGGACCCTACACCTCTTGACCATATGATCTTATTGCAGTAAAACATTTACTTGATCTTTTATTCAGGAATCTCCTGATAAACTCGAGTTCAAAGATGGTTTGGCCATAAAGAAATAATATCAAATATTTTTTTAAACACTAAAGTTCTTTGCCCCTTTCATACTGGTCAGTCGAAAAATTATTATTTCTATATTGGTGCTTGTTAGCAAGGTTAGAAGTAGGACACTGGAGAAATATGGAACATCAGTTGATGAGGTTGTCAATCTTTTATGTTCTGATAGTACAGAGCTTTATTTGTAGCCAGATATATTGGTTTATGTTGTTCGTTTTGGCTGTTCATCAACTCTTATTCTGATCTCTGGATCATTTCGGATACTGTGTTAAATAGGTCTGGAATTATTGAATATTCGTTATTTATTTTGCAGTACCGTATTTGTGACATTTGGGATACAGTTTGTAACATGAAGTGTGTATTTGTAGTCGTCAGAAAGTTCTTAGTTTGAGTTATTCTTGAGTAGACACTGAGTCCCAAATATCAGTGCGTCACCTTGATTTATCTATATATGTATTTGACAAAAAGACGTATTGGTAGATAGACTCCAGGTACATTCACTCTTCATCTTTCTCTAGATTTAGATTCCAAGTACTTTTTTACTACATATTTCTCTATTCCATCTTCACTATTAGCGCTACTGCAATCAATACGATTCATTTGCTATTGATCCAGTCAATTTCATTTAGTCCTGTTGATGTGGCATGGTAACTTGGGTTGGCCAACGCTTTTGTTAGTCCGCTTTGATTATGACTGACTGTTTGAAGGTTTAGTGGATTGTTTGGATTTATAGACAACCGTATTGATCTGAGATGACCAAACTAAGATATGATACTGATTCGTGTAGTTATTGAAACTACAAGAAAATATAGGCTTAGTACAACGAGTCTACATAAAGGTAGTCAGTCAGCTACAACGTAGGACCAGGCACATTTATGCATCGGTCCAAGTTGCCATAACACAAGATGGACACCGGATTCATAAAAGTAGTTAATTCAGAGGTGGTGATATATAAAAGAAAGATTGCAATAAGGATATAGTGCAGGAAGAAAGAATCAGTTAGTGGAAAGAAAGATATGAAGCGATTTTAATCTCTTAGTTTAAGGGAAGACAGAGAGAGTATACACCTACGCCATTGTGATCGATTCTGAGCCATGTCACCTAGAGTCTCCAACCATTGGTTACGATAGTCACGCGGACCCCAACCAAATAGTCCGCATCTACCAACATGGCTCAGACTAGAAGTTAGTGTCTTCAAGCACTGATGCCACGTTTTGGTTTGGCCACCCCTAACTTTCTTCCAAACATCTCCAACACCAGTCAGCATTGTACGTCGTGGTAATCGGTGTTCATGCATACGTAACACGTGGCCTAACCATCTCAGTCGATGAAGGTTCACAACCTCATCAACTGATTTACCATCATTCCCTAATACCCTGAGTCTAACTTCACTATTACTTACCCGGTGATTCCAGCAGACGCCAGCAATATTTCTAAGGCATCTGTGGTCAAATACTAGTAGCAACAACGATCGGGACATAAAGGTAGAAAGTAAATAGTAACTAATAATAATGAAAAATGTATCTCACTGATAAGAATGTATTCTCTCATCTAAGGTTGGATACATCATAACCACTTAGACTGGCTGTTCACGCACTAACACTTTATAATATTTTCATTTATTTGTTAGTTTTTCGTAAGCTTAGCATTGCAACAACTTCATCAAATACATTTTGAAAGGTTGAATTTTGGTGTTTCGAGAACGAAAGAAGTCATTTGTTAACTATTACTATGGGGCAACAACACAATACTGCCCTACAATAGTCTTAGTACAGCGAATATAAACAATACCAGTATCATGTTTAAAAGTACCCCCCTAAATCAACAACCTATTTAGTGAACCAACAAATGAACAAAGGACAGTACTTTTAGATTATTAGTTAACATATCCTTATAATAAACGAATAACGTTATGTCTTTTAGAGATCCAACAATGAAATGAAAACTTGAATATTCAAGAGGAAGTTAGCAAACCAATGAATTTACACATCCGTGGTAATTTATCTCATTTTAATACTAACGAATTTTGCAGTAGATAAATAATCCACGAAAATTCGAAGAAACAAAAGTTACTAAGTTAAACGAGCGTGAAAAATTGACTTACATTCTCCCTAATTAGCAAAGCCCTTTTACACAATGGTTCCGCCTCTTTATATTTTCCACGTTTACCATAAAGCACAGCCAAGTTGTTTAAAGTCGCAGCCACCTAAAAGATATGCATAAAGGTTAAAATGGAGAAAATACAGCAGGATGTTCAGGTCCCAACGTCTTTTCTCGAATCGTTAGGGCATCATTCAATAATGTTGCAGCTTCTCTGTATTTTCCTTGATCACTAAACAATGAATTTGTGGTAAATTAAGTATTACTTACCGATATACAAGAGCTAAAATATTCAGCATTGTCGCAACATCAGGGTGATTGCGTCCACTGTTTCTTTCGAGATCCTCTAAAGCTTGTTTGCACAGTGGGACCGCTACTTCATAACGACCTTCACTAGCATACTGTATTACCAAATTATGAAGTGTTCGCAAACGCGTTGGTATTTCGTAGTTATGAACACCCTGTGACATGGAGACAGTTTGACTCTGTGTCATTCCTAAGTTAAGAAACCACAAGACAATAATTTATTGGAAAGAGAATAAAGCAACAATAATCATACACACAATCGTCTTTTATCACTGTTTTGGGTTAGAAATTCGCTGAACCTTAAATTTAAATAAACATGCAGCAAAAGGATCAGATCATTCATGAGGGATTATACACTTCAAAAGATACGATCAACATGAATATTATGAATGATAGCAATTTTAAAGAGATTGAAAAAATTCTCCTTCAGTCATGCAGCAGATACTCAATAATTCTCGGTCCACAACAAGGTGGTTTCCAATTACTTCTATAATATAAGAATTTAATCTACACATTGGCTTTGGAATAAAATGAAACTTTGGTGCCAGAATATAAAGACCAATTTACAGGACTACCAAAGTTGGGCTCGATAAGCATAACACAAACATGAGTTGTCAACTGATCAAATGCATGCTCGTATCCAAGGTTATGAGCTAAGACCATTGTGTATGGATTGAGGATATAGTTACCTAAATTGTCGCCGGAAAACTAGGAGTCAAAACTGTGATGTATTAGTGGGGTGAGTTATAAGTTTACAATGTAAAAGACTCCTGAAATCACTAACTCACTCATATATCTCAAGGGATTGGTCTCATACCCCGAGTCATTTTAAAGCCACCAAATGACACAGCCACGTTAGACAGAAAACTGGAAATTTTGAAGTACGATATTATAACTTCATATATGTATTTCCCAACCATTAATTTCAAAATATTTCCCATATATTACCTTGTGTTAACAATAGGTTAGACAACAAGAGGGAAAAGTGTGTAGTGCATTGCCTACTTGACTTTCCATCGAAGTTTCATTAACTATGTCCCAGTGCATATCAAACGGTAATTATACTTCATGGTTTATGTTACCACATGGTCAGTGAGAGTAAAACCAATGAATAAAGCGCAAACAGTACGTCATAAGTGTATATGTTACACGGTTTGAATGTGAAAGAACCTCTAAGCAATGAATTGTGACTACTGTATGACATAGTATAGGTTGTTCACATCTAGTGACGATTCTTGTCTAATTCAAACATACGGGTTCGAGCTGAGTATGTTCTATCCCTAAATTTGAGAAAATTCGCACAGGAGGCTACAGAATGTGACTGTTAGTTGATCAGTTTAGAAATCTGATTAGGTACTTACCACTAAGCTGACCATGAATGATATTATGAACTTTAGACACAAAATTGTCAGGACGAAACCACAACTGCAATAAGATTAAGCGACAAAAAGTCCAGGCAGGCTATCGATGTTATAGTGTTACTCGGTACTCATTAGGTGTACCGTAAACACTAAGTCACAAAAATTTAATACATTGTCCAAAACCAATCATTTTTCATTTAAACTAGGTGTATTCAACATCTAACTTCATGACAATGTTGAATAAAACTCCATTCTCTGAGTTGGAGGGTTTAATCGAGAACCGTTGATAGTCTTTTTAAATCCTCATCCTGTACAACAAATATTCTCCACCATAGAGGAGTATACACAGTTAAGACCCCACTCATAACAAAACAGCATTCTAAATAATTCCTTAAAATTTCGTCCTTCTTTCTACGTGGTTATCCTATTAGCATCAGCTTCATATATCCAAATATACGACATTGAGTAAACACAATTCATTACAAAATCATCTTACCATATTGATCTCCTTCTTCTTTATCATCAGGAGGAAACCCAAGATCAAGGGCAGTTTTATCATTATTTTTCTCACCATCGGTTAGTCCCGAGGATTCCACAGGTTCAGAAGAGTCATATTTTCGCAATTCACTGCTAAATTGAAGATGCTTTACTTCTTCTTCAAGTTGAACTATCTTTAGTTCACTTTTCCTATGTGCTTCTTGGGCAACCGCAAGTTCATCTCTCAACCAAGAGTTCTCCTGAAAAAGCCGACGACTCTGATACCGTAACTTTTGTTTTTCTGCTTCTACTTTTTGAAGGTAGTCACAAAATAATATTACAACCTTTAACAGAAATATTATATACCTTGGAACAACTCACGTTGGCATCATCCAAACCTTTACAAATTTTTTGAATGATTGAATCCAAAGAAGATGCTTTTTCCTTGGCATATAAAATATCGTGCTGATCGGCGTCTTTCGAATTCGCTATTAAATCTAAATCAGCAGATATCTGCTGTTGTTCTGATCTCAGAGACTCAAGAACAAGGACTGTAGATTTAGTCTTGCGAACTACTTCATCCCAACACCAGAAGTCTACAGATGCTGACTTGCCAGACTGTACAGACATCAGTAGAAAACTTATTAATGAAACGAAAGAAATTTAACGGAACTGGCGGGAAGCCTGTAATTGCAACGTTTAATTTCGAAAAGAACAGGATATGTTTTGATAGGTCCAATATTACAACATTCAAAATGAATTAAAATATGATTATAAACCTTAGGAAGTAATATTAACAGTTTGAACAGCTTGTCGTTTTAGTCGTTTTATGCCCTCATTTAGTTGATGAAGTATCAAATACTCAATTATTATAGTTCAAATGGTTGGACTGAATAGAAGCTCTCGCTTAACAGGCTTCTGTTTCTACTAGCAGTGGATCACCAATAACTTCAGGCAGGAACCTAGGAATATTAACGATAAACGAGGAAAAATAAATTGGTGGATCATTGTAGGATACTAACCTTAGTCCTTAAGAATATATCAAGTTTTCTCTTAAATGAAAGATCTTGTTTGTTAAGACATAATTCCTGTCATATTCCTTCTAGAACTGAAGGGCATGTAGCGGTAAATAAATCCCCAAAATAAATAGCACTAAGTTTTCGACATTGGATGCTGACCATATGTTTTAGTGGACTCACCTAGCTGAAGGCGCTCGGTCAGTCATCCGCACCAGATCACGTCGGTTTCACCAATGTTGATGTCACAGGTATTCAGTGTTTGACAACGCTTCTACCAGTAACACCTTCTAATATATTTCGTTCCCGCCCAGAGAAATCAAAAGACAGAGTCGAGGAGATCGGAAGAGTATATTTGGCGATGACCAATATATCGGAATTCTCTGATCTAATCTGGCTAGCGATTGCGGTAGTTGTTGAGCACGGCGTTACCACACGTGATCGACATAGATCATCTACGTTGGTGATCTACAGGCAAAAGATTTAGCTAATAACAAAAGCGATTCCTTACAGTGCCTACAAACTGTAAAGATGAATAAGTTCCCAAAATAAACATTCCTGTTAGTCTCCGACATTGGTGCTGGTCTCATTAGTTCTACTGAGCACAGCAGAAGGGGCTCTGTCGAGCATCAGTATCAGACCACGTTTGAATACATAACAGTGAACGACCCTACGTTGAATACAATCTGTCACATCAACCGTTACTCAGATATACTTTCATCTCTCTTTACTCACAACTTTTGATTGTCATCAATATCCTTGCACAAGACTTTCCGGAATGTAAGTATGAGAAACACTGAAATTCTGCTACCCTCCTAAATCATAGGGATAGTTGAGCCTTCTTTCGAAGGATTCAGTAGGAAGTGATTGTAGTAACTACTGATTTAAGCCTTGTAGCGGTAAATAACTCCCCAAAATAAATAGCTCTAAGTTTTTCGACATTGGGTGCTGACCATATGTTTTAGTGGACTCATCTAGCTGAAGGCGCTCGGTCATGCATCCGCACCAGATCACGTGTGGTAACGCCGTGCTCAACATCAACCGCAATCGCTAGCCAGATTAGATCAGAGAATTCCGATATATTGGTCATCGCCAAATATACTCTTCCGATCTCCTCGACTCTGTCTTTGATTTCTCTGGGTGGGAACGAAATACATTAGAAGGTGTTACTGGTAGAAGCGTTGTCAAACACTGAATACCTGTGACATCATCAGCCTCAAATACGTTTACACGTACTGTCATGTGAGGTTATCTGTTTCCCATGGTAAAATGGTAACTTGTTACGTTCAGTTTACTACCTAAGTGGGTGAATGAAGGGAACTACAAGCAATACAACATGCTGAGGTCATATTCTCTTGTAAAACCGGTGAAACGTCATTCGGTTCTAGCCAGATTACCCGGCGGGCGCTTCATATAATATTGAGCGGTTTGTTAGTCCTCTTCAACATCAGAGACAGCCGACGTGCGTCAATCGAATGGACACTGTGGACAGACGCATGCGAAAGTGGTTGCAATTTGTTTTTTGCACTTATTCTTGCAGATTCAGTTCCGTAAAAACAGTATCTTTTTACTGTATAGTCTTCAAATCGGTAATAGTACCTGAATACGACAAAATGGTTATTCATATTACGCATTAACTGAAAGGTGTAAATCCGACATGAGCCGAGGTGAAGCTGTTGTTGTCTACATCGAGAAGCCCTGTGATCATCCACACAGGTTTCCTGCAGTGATGTTCTACATCTCCAACACTTCTGTAGTGTGAAGATAGCAGGCTTAAAGCTTCTAGGAACTATGAGAAATAAGAATGAAAGTAGAACACACCTCAGCATCAGGGTGTGAATGTCAGTTGAAATTGTAGTCATAATCAGAAGCATACTGAAACATCGCAACTTCAGTTTGTGTAGAAATTAGATGGAACTGGTGATATTCCACAGGAAGTTAACCTTGTAACTACTGTGCGACACCCATGGTTATCTTTTAAGCACTATTTGTTGAAGAAGTACAAGTTGAGTGGAGATGAGCTATAAACACCTTACAATTGGATTGTCGTCATTTACATCTCTCGATGGCGTAACAAGCCCGTAGAAACTGAAGAGAGCACGAAGGTGTCGTTCGTGGTATTCGGCAATGGATCCGTACGGAACGAAGTCTACCGGTGGCAAGTCAGTTACTAGAGCATGTTTACTATGTAATGACATAAGAGTTTCGACTTAGAATTTAATACATAACTACTCAACTCCGCCTTAAGCTCTTCTAGGGCTTCTGATTTTCCCAAACATGGGTGAAGGAGGAGAGTTGAACAGGAAGTTAACCACCACATTCTATGGAAAACAGCCTTACTAAAAAGCGCCAACCAGATTAAACAAATCAAAACATTTTTAACTCTGACTTGGAATTTGAGGGACCTCTGTTGAGGAGGATTATGACACCTCATGGTGAGAGCCGAGATTCTTTGAAATCCACCAGGTCGATGCCCCTTATAACAAACAGAGCAAAAATTAATATATGCACATGGAATGTCCAGACAGTTTGGAAGACCGGAATACAATGAACAACTTGCATGCAACTAGACGATTTGAACTTCACAGATCACCTAGATCTTCTAGGCTATACGCATGAAAAAATGCAGATGAAGACGACCAATGTAGCAGCAACCTGTGAATCAGTAAGCCTCAACACACACAAGGGAAGAAAGAAGATCCTCAAAAACAGACTCAACCGCACTTGATGGAGAAACTCTGGAAGAGGCGGAAACATTCACGTAACTACCCAAGCAGCATCATTGACGGACAAGAATGATGTGATACTGATGTAAAGGCATGGATTGTTGAAGCAAGAATATCAGTTCTGCGATTGAAGAACTTACGGAACTCAAAACAACTTTCAACAAATATCAAAGTCAGAATCTTCAATACGAACGTCAAGACAGTTCTACTACGTGCGGATTAAATTTGTGGAACTACCGCAACCATCATCGATATGGTACAATTTCTTATAAACAATTGCCTGCTCAAGATACTCATTATCCGTTGGTTGGATACCATCGGCAACAACCAACTGTGGTAGAGAACAATGTTGGAGTTGGATAGCACATACATTGAGAGAATCACCAAACTGCATCACGGGATAAGCGCCAACCTGGAATCTTGAAGGGAGAAGGAAGACTGGAAGACCAAGGAACAAAGAATGTTTGGCAACTGTAAATAACCGGAAGGGATTGATCAGGACGGAGTTGAATGGAGAATGTTGGTGGTTGACCTATGTTCCTCGACGAAGTGTAACAGGCGTCAGTAATCAGGTAACATAACTATTCACTTGAAAAAGAATATATGACTGATGGAATTTGGTCTCGACATGTTAGTGATAATGAACTGAAAATAACTTAGAAGATAATTATCGTTGAGTCAAGTCTTTATGAAGTGGCGAAGTATGTATGTAACTTGATGTAAACACGTCAAAACCATGACAGCTAATGACCACGAGTTTATTATACAAAGTTACCAAAGGCTAGTTTTATATAATACATGGTTTGTCAGGCTATATGAGTTTAAAGCGAGTAATTTACAGGGTCAAGTCGATATTAAGGCTGTTGGAACACTAGGTTGGGGATCCCAATTGAATATCGGCCATATGCTTCAATAAAGTCGGTTGAATACAAACTATATTCCAATGCAGTTGGCAATACAAAGTGCAGATAATCAAATGTACATGGTTACAAATCGTTTTATTTTTTCATTGCAGATAAAATGAAATACGACGTCCAAGAATGCTTGTTTCAAAAATTTATTGAAGAATAATTAACTAGATTCGGACACTGAAAAGATTCAAAATGATAGTATCAAATGTGAACAAATGTAAATTCTCATGATAACATGTCTGAGCCACAAACTTTGCATCTGTAATGACAAGTGAGACACTCAAAATTATTTCGTGCGTCCCTCGTGTCTGTTGAGTTGCATGCAAAAAGACTAAGAACTTTATGAAAACAATTAAAATGTGTGTGCGCAGACAGGTTTCATAAAACCGACAAGCATCTTTCAAAATTTTGAAATGACAAATGTGCGAACATGAATATCGGTAGAAACGTTAGTTTTTGCTGGATGAGTAAGAAACATAGATGATTTAATGTGTTCTAGTGAATAAATCCCCGAAACCAATAATCCTGTAAGGCTTCCGCATTTGGTGCTGACCTCATTAGTTTTAAATGACACATCTAGCTGGAAACGCTGTCACGTATCCGCACCAGATTACGAGTGGGTATGTCGTGCTACACATCCGTTTCAACCATTAGCCAGATTAGACAAAACGTTCATTCGACATACCGATAAAATTCCAAATAAATCTTCAAACTCCTTCATTCCTGACTTCTGATTTCACTGGGTTGATATATTTCGATTATAAAGGTGTTGCTGGTTAATACGTTGTCAAACTCCGAGTACTTGCACATCTTCAGCTGCATTCAACATAGTCGTACTGGGATTAAGAAACAACACAAAAAGTCGTGCAGGAAGTTTACACAACCAGTCTAAGCTGGAATTTGGGAGAATTACAATTATTCTAAATAAATGCTGTGAAAATTACGGAAGGCGGGTGATTAGGACGAGGTTACTGAAAGATTATCAAACTTAGTACATAGATTGTAAACGACTAACTGAACGAAATGTGGTATTTATGCTAAATAATAA